GCAGCGTTTCAAGACTATATCTACAGCCTGGTGACCGATGTGGTGTCCACCCTTCTACGAATTGTGAAAAGCGAGCAACTGGCACGCGGCTCAAACCCAGGATCCCTCTATTTTGATTCCAATGCCCAGTCGACTTGGCAATCGCGACGTCCGTTCATCCTATTTGACTGTTATTCGGATTCTACAATTTGGCTATATTAACTACTTTAAGACAACACGGTAATGGATAAAACAACAGAATTACTTTAAAGGCGAAGAGAGAGTCAAAAGAAAATATATTACATCAAAGAACAAGGATTTTTCGACAAAAGCCAGTCCTAAGACTGATGTGATTATAAGCTCTCCAGTGGTTTTCTAAACTACTTTAGCAGGTCATTTGCTGCCTGATTCTTTCAGAGTAGTCATTTCGGTGCTGACGGTTTTATTCTGCTCATCACTTGGTCGAATTGTATTTTTAAGGTAACATGTTTGCGTTCAGACTGCGGATATACGTAAGAAACACAATAACGCAAATCTAATCTGAATGAGGAACTAGGAAGAGATGAAAATGAAATTTTAAAAAGACTGGATAAAAACTATTTCAATATGCTGTTATCATATAATCATATTTCAATTAACCATGTAACTAGGTATTAAAGCGTCACGAACTTAAATGGGTTAGAGGTCTTGTTTCTGACTGCTCTTAGCCTGTTATTCATGCTGGCTTACATACATTGTAGCCAATTTTCAACTGTAATTTCAGTGTAGCTGCTTATCATTTGTTGAATACTGTATTTTTAAAAGTCAAACTTCGTAATGAATGAACGATTTTTGAAGTTACCCGCGGTTGTGCCTTTTCAATAAAATTTTATCGGGGCTTCGCAGATCTGATACAACATAAACCATGCGGTTTCAGAGTAAGAGATCTGAAAAGACGTCAGCACAGGTTCTAAAGTTCAAAAACAAAAGTTTTACCCTTGGAACTATCGTCGTAGCCAATTTTTTGCACTACTCGACGAACCAGTGTCTGATAATCAACATGGCCCTGGCTAGTGATTTCACCCAACAGCATAACCATGCCCGTTTTTGTTACTGCCTCTGTAAAAAAGTAACATGTACGAGCACGATCAGAGCGGGTCAGACGAAAATAGCCTCTTCATATCCTCTTTTAGCAAGCTGTAAGACATGATGGCATAAAATAAAGATTAGTATACGACGACACGCCGCAAAAAGCGAAGTGCCGGCAAAATTGATACGCTTAAACAATTACCACATGCCACTCTGGAATTTGGATCCTGCGCCAAATGCGCATCAAGGACGGCATCGCTGACCTGATCACACAACTTGTCTGCAAAAAGAACAAATTAATTAAGCAATAAGTCATTAGTCTGAATCATCATATCATCGGTTAAACACTGCAACCGTGATTACGGTATTAATCAGCTTTAAGTTAAAAGATGAATATTCTATTACTTATATTTTACTGAGTTAATTTTAGTTGATTTCATTCAACCGTGAGTAAGCGAACATTATGACATTCATCTCTATACAAATACACACATATATGAGCGCTTCTGAATAGATATCAAGCTCTATCAAGCAACAAAATGTTAAGAAGGGCGAAACTGTGTATTCCCGCAAAAGAAATAACATAAATAGTCAGTTTCACTGCCAAAGTAATTTTTCACACCTCCTGCTTCACCGATACGCGGTTCCTCGTGATCGACTGAACCAGCAGAAAACTGAAATCAATATTAAGTGAACTTAAATGCAACTAGGAATAAGGAATATAGGTCGTAAAATTTAGTGAGCATTATTACAAGGCTGCCATCAATTACTTTTATGAATTACACCGTGTACTTTGTCAAGCAGCACCAAAGGCTTAAGACATTCCAAACGATAGGGCTGTAAGTTTCAAAAATAAATAATGAATCAGTGAACGGGTGAATGAACGAAGGGTTAAACAAATGGTCGAATCAGTGTAGTTAATGGAAAGAAAGGATGTCAATTTTCGATCCATGCACATTATCATATACAAGTTAATTACGAGAGCTATAAATTAAAACGAAAGCTTCACCTGCGTGACCCTCTCCAACGCTTTCGGACGTGAACAGAAACGTATCACAGTCTCCTTCTCCGAATTCCGCTCCGTGGTTGCCACTGCCATTAAACATTGAAAACACTCCTCCATTCTCGCCGAAAGACTCTGAATGATGAACAGCAGTCGTGTCGCAGTTATTCAAAATTGCAGGCGGCATTTTGAGTATCTACAAAAATAAATATTATAATTTACGTAACTCCGTCATTGCCGGAGTTAAGCCCGGACGAGAAAGGAGGAAGGTTGGAGAAAGCGGCAAGTCTCCGCAAAATTCAGCCACCTGCCACTCAAGGTATTGATGCCATCGAAAATTATACCGGCTCAGTCGTCGCCCGGGTAACCAAGGACCGCGCAGGCTGTTGGGGGACGGAGGCAGACTGCGAAAAATCGGCGATCAGAACCTGCTCATTGCCCTCTGCAAGCCGAGGGCGTGGCAGCACAACGACGGCTGATGAAGACCGACGCAACGACGACGAAGATACCAGTCGGCAACAGAGTCGCTACCTGTTCTGAACGGAGGAGGCAGACAGCGCGATGCCATTACAGCACGTCAGAAAAGGCTCC